TGTCCCTTTTCCAGTCCTCTGGGACCTGTCCTGAGCACCAGCAGCTCCGCTGTGACTCCAGCTAATTCCCTAAGATGAGGATCATCAGGACCTGTTGACTTAAATACATTCAACCCCTCCAGGTGCCCCTTTACTAGGTCAGCTCGAACAGTTGGTGGGTTGGTATCTATACTGGTCTTACCTAAGGTCCCAATGGGATGCATATTTGTATTTGTGTCCAGGAACACGGATGCAAAAAAATCATTTAGAAGCTTCACTTTGGCTATCCTATCTGTTACCAGTTGCCCTAGTTCATCCTGAAGGGGCCCTAAGATACCCTGCACCTTCTTTTTGCTTCCTATGTACTTAAAGAATGACTTTTTGTTGTCCTTAACTTTTGCTGCCAGCCTAAGCTCCATTTCCACTTCGGCTTTCCTCACTGCTTCCCTGCAAGCTCGAGCCAAGCAGATATTCTCCTCCTTGGTGGTTGGTAGGGCCAGGAGGCTGGGCGCAAATGGCCTATGGCCTTCTGATACAGGATGGGGGTTTCTGGGCAAGGGGAGAGTCCATGGTTCTGGTCCCTGCTTTAGGGTGTTTTTCTGTATTTTATATTCAGCATTCACTGGATGAAATGCAGAAATAGAGCCAACTCCATTAACTTCTCAGCATTTTTTAAAAGAAAAGAGTGACTGCTTTACTCTGTGAAAGAATTATTTTAGGACTTTGTTTTAATTAAATAGAAGAATCTGCCTACCTCCCATAGTCGAGCACCAAGACTGGAGAGAGGTTCAGCACATGCCCCTGTTCTCTACTGGCTAAACAGGGATCCAGGTTTTCTGTTTGCCACACAAAAATTCAGTAACATTCAGATGTTCTCTTTTTAAGGAGAAAAAATGTGGAAGACAGTGGGTTTCCCCTTGCAGGCTGGCTCCCCACCACTGCATGCAGTCCAGGGAGACATGGGGGGCACATGCCCCCCAGATCTGTGCATGGGGAGGGGGTGGATGCAGGCTGTCTGCTGCAGGCTCAGGCTCCTTGCGCTGCTGCCCTCCCCCCGGGACCTCGGTGGCCCAGCGGGTGAGACCCAGCACAGCAGGATAGAGCAGGACAGGGAAGCTTAGTGCCACTGCTGGAAGCCTTGCGCTGCCATGATGAGGCACCCCCTGCCTGCCTGGCAGCAGTAGGGCCAGCAGCACGGAGTTGTACCCCTTGCTGCTGCCAGGTGGACAGGGGGTGCCTCGCCATGGCGGCATTGGACTCCCAGGGGTGGCACTGAGCTTCCCCACCCTGTTCTGCACTGCCAAGTTAGGTCCTGCCCGCTGGGCCTTGGAGGCCCTGGGACAGGGCAGGGAGCCCAATCCTGCAGCAGCAGGCAGGCCTCATCTGCCCTCCCCTGCCCACAGGCTCTGCGCTCTGCTCTGCCTCACTAGCTGCCGCCTTCCATGAGCAGCAGCAGGGCTTTGGGTGCTGCTGGGGCAGGGGGCAGGGGCTGTGGACTCAGGTCTCTGGCCCCATAGCCTTGGCAGCTGGGGGCCCCCTCCAGCACGGCTGGGGCCGTGGATGGGGAGTGAAGGCACCAACAGATCCCAGGGGGCTGCGGGTGGGGAGTAAGGGGCACCAACAGGTCCAGGGGGCTACGGGTGGGGAGTGAGGGGCACCAAGAAGGCTGTGCTTCTGAAGTGCCTATCTTTGTCCATGCCATGTCATAGGGAGCCTAACATTAGGTTCTGGATTCTGCTCTGGTAACCAGACACCTACAGACTAGGCACTACGGCTCCTGTTTTGTAGGACCCAAAGTCCTTTATTGGATCCAGCTCTTAATATCTCGAACATACTGATCAGTAAACAATATGTTTGAGCTCTTTTTATTTGTATTCTGTACTTCCAGTTTTGTGAAGGCACGTGTGTCTTTCATATTCCGTTTCTTAGCTCTCATATTTTTTGTCACTTAATTGCTTTATCATAAATTATCTAAATTATAAATAGTTTAGTATTGAGATTCCCTCTTTCCTCTCTCCCTCCCTGCAGGGTCACTGGCAGGAGGCTGACTGCAATACAAACACTTAACCTAAATAATTCAGTGTTATCTGCAGCTTTTGTTACATCTCTATCCTCGACCTTGTTTGCAGAATATTAGTAAATGTATTAAATGATGAAGAACCTTCTAGGAGACCTTGAGAGACCCAACTGTTGACCTTTTGCCGTGATGAAGACTGATCATGTGACTCTGTTCTTTACTCTGTGTCTTCTAGGCATTTCTTTTTATTCATGACCATGCTTCACTTTGCTAGCAGCTCAGTTACTTCATAGTTAAGTCCCGTCTGAACTCTTGGATGTATACCATTTGGAGTCTGGTGCCTCAACTACTTTATTTCTACCCAGGAGAACTTTTACAATCTTTTCTCTGATGCCTGATGAAGGGTGTCTGTGCCCAAAAGATTACAATTAAAAAAAATGTTTTTGCAAAAATCTTGTTGGTCTAATAAAAGAGATCACCTCTACCACAAGCCCTGATTGCTCAATTTTAAGTTGGCTCCAGTGCTTCTTCTGACACCTTGGTCTCTGAGAGGATATTGGTTTTTATTACCAGGAAATAGAGAAACACAGCTACTGGACTTTCTAACATCAGACTTCACCACAGAAGAAGCAAAAATATAACCTAAGGAATGTCTCTATTGCTTCCTTAGTGTTTTGGAGTACAATGCTGAAAATCATGGCCCAGCCCAGCACTTCCTCCTCCACGTGCACCAACCTAAAAATGAGAGTGGACGTGTCCTGCTATTCACAAGCCTGTGGTTTGGTGTGAGAGCAGTAGCAGGGGTTACTCCCTTAGGGCCCTTCATTGCCTCATTTTTGGGTTTGATGCATGCAGAATTGGGAGCAGATGGAGGAGTGTTTGGTGGCATGCTCAAGGGTGGCATGGAAGTAGTATAGCCATATCCTGTTTTTGTCAGAAATGCTCTTGCATTACTCATTAAACCCCTAGGACAGTGCTTCCCAAACTTGTCCTCAGCAGGACCCCATTTCCTCAGCATGGCCCCTCAGTCCCAAGCCACAGCTGCCCACCCCTATGTCCCTATCTGCTGATGTTGTAACCCCATTTGTGGTTGCAACCCACTGGTGGGAACCGCTGCCCTAGGATCTAGCAGACCCTCTGAGTCTTTTACTGACTGCCTGCTTCTGTGCGTTTAAAGAATAGTCACTTGTTTGTTTGAACACTTTTAGGTATTTTCTCTTCAAATTCCATGCTAGCTTTCTAATTCCCCTCTTATTTCTTGCCTGTTGTAATCTGCCCTATGGTTTATTGGCTTCTTCATGTTAAGATTTCCAAATATTGAAGGATTTCTTTTTGTCTCTAACAGTGTTTGCCATATTGTTTTTTTTGTTTGTTTGTTTTTCTTGTTTTCATAGTGACTTTTTTGTTCATGTCTTCTAAGACTGTAAAGCTATGTGCCACCTTTAGGGATTTTTTGTACTGTGCTATTGCCTTTTTACATTCTTTACCCTTAACTCTTTTTCCTTTTAATTAACCTAATTTTTAAGATCAGTTTTTAAAGGTTAATATCACTCTAACACCTTTTGGTGTCCTACCTGCCTTTGGATGTTGAACTTAATGATATTGCAGTTACTCTTACTTAGTGATTCGGCTACTGTTACTTCTCAAAATAGCTCGTGTGTTACTTACAGCTAAGTCAAGAATAGCTCTCTTCTTATTGACTTTAGAACTAGCTGTTCCAAGAATTAATTCATTAACATTTAGAAAAAGTTTCTCTTAATTCTGCTTTGCTGTGCCATTTCACCAGTTTGTAGTTGGGTGGTTGAAGTTTCTCTATTACTGTCTTCCTGGGTTTTGCTGCCTTTTTGCTTTGCTGAATGCTGTGTGTTCATTTACTTCTATCAGTTCAGAGGCAGCTTAGTTTCAGTAATATTTGGTATTCCTGCAGATTGGGATTGGTATCCAGATAGATTCAACTATATAGTCCCGGATGCTCAATTTTTTTTCTCCCTGTAGAATCCTTTTCAGTCGTCTCTCCTGTATAGCTAATAACCACCTAGTGCAGTATGCCATTGATTTTTGTCATTCTGTCAAGTTTCTGTAATGCATGTCAAGAGCCTTATCAATTGCTAAGAAGTCTAATGACCCTATTTTTGCTTTTAAATTACTTTTGTTTGTGTATGGATATTAACAGTTTTTTATTTTTGAGTTTTCATTTTACTCTGTAATCTGAGACCCTGATTTTATAGCAATTTTTATTGCTCTCGTTTCTGTTTTAGTTCAGTTATATTTGTATCCATTAGCAGACAGGATACAAAGATAATACTTCTGTGATTGTCATTACCAATAATGTGCCTCAGATTATCCTGCCATTTAAAAAATATATTTACTGTTTGCTTCTCATTTTCATACTTGTTCTTCCCCCCATTAGAAAACTGGTCCTCTGTGTTGTGGAAGGACATGAAATGTGCTAACAGTTTGACTACGGAGTTTCTGTTTCATTCATTTCTACTGCATTCATGTTTTCTTTTTAACTGAGTGAATTCCCACTGAGAGAGAGAGATTGATTTAGGGATGTTGTTGAACAATTTTATACCTGTCTGTAAAACCAAATCCAAATCCCGGCCCCTGCCTTAAGGGCAGGTGGAGGTTAAGAGGTGTGGCATGACTCTGACCTGCTGTGCAGGGCATAGGGTTTGGGAATTTGGCAGGAGGATGGGTGGTCGTACTAATGGCCACCACTCCCCCACTGCTAAATTTCTGGATGTTGAGAACCCCATGGACCAGGTAGGATGTCTCTGTATGCTACATTTGGCCCATGGGCCGGAGGTTGAGCACCCAATCTACACAGAACAGATTACAAATGTGGACTGATGGGAATCAAGAATCCCATGGGAACGATGGGATTTCTGGTGACATGGCATTGATTAAAACACTTGACGATATGTATGGTAGTGGGAGAAGATTGAGTGCATTGGAAAATTTGGGGGCAGGCAGCAGAGGGAAGCAGCCAGTACTAAAGTGATCTGGTGAATTTTGGTCATGGGTTACTGCCAGGAAAGTATTTTCCTCTTATTCCATACCCTCCCTGCCCCTTCCCCCCACTCCTTATTTCCCACTCCCACACTCCTTCTCTGCAAGCTGTCTGGAAAAAAATCTGTGGCATTTTACTGATTTTTGGCAAGTTGTATCTGTTTTACTTTTGGATCATCATAAAGGTATTGACTTTCACTTGATTGATTTTCTAATTTATGCAGTTCGCCATTTTGGCCAGTTATTTGAGACACACCCATGGGTGCTATGTGGAAACTATAATTGGAAAACACACCTGCAATCCAGTAGTACATCTGGCTGTCTCTCTGAAATGAGAAATGGCATGTAAGTATAGTATACTAGAATTATGTAAAACAATGGATGTAATTTACCGAGAAAAAATGAATACCATGTTTTCTCACATACAGCATGCACCTCTTCTCAAAAAATTGCTGCTGGAAATTGGAGTGTGCATTAAATGTGAGAAATATGATAAGATGGGGTTCTACAGCTTACTGGGTGAAACTGAATGTAAAATCTACACAATCCACCAGGAGCAGAGCAATGAGCCAGCTGAGCTCTCTAGCTGCTGGTAATCAGGTACTCGCTACAAGGAAAAATCTTTTTCTTAATTCTGTCTTTCAAAAAGGTGTGTATTATGTTATGTGTTATGTTATATGTGAGAAAATATGGTATGTTGACGTGTCATGGCAATTTGACAATCTGATAATGAAGCCACTGCTGAGATAGGCTTTTCAGATTTCTTGCTGTTGCCTTATTAAAATTGCCTTACAGACATTTAATCTGTTTTACAGACTAAATTATTAATACATTGCATACAGTTTAAATATTTTTAAACAATTGAGAAAAGGAGAGAGACTTTAAATTTTCGGCAGTGGAATTTAAATGAGTAAAGGTAACTTTATCTGATTTTTTTTTTTTTTTTCCTCTTTCACTCATAAAGGATATTTCTTACACTTTTAATCCAGCTTTTAATTTTTTGTGTTGGTGCCTGGTGTATCAGGTTTGGTTGCATGACTTTTGGCTTTTTTTGCAGGTCTGCTGCAAGGCGACTATTCAGTGCTTCACACACAACAGTGGACCCAAAGGAAGTGAAAAAATTCCAGCTTTTGGCACACAAGTGGTGGGATGAACAAGGAGAATATTCACCCCTTCATTCTATGAATGACATTAGAGTGCCATTTATTAGGTACAGTTTGAAAATATTTAAACTTTTTAATGTTTTTTCCCAAGCCATCCTCTAAGACAGTGATTCTCAGCCAGGGTGTCACAGCACCTTAGGATGCCTTCAGATCTTTTCAAGGGTGCCCTGAGTTGCCATGCAATGTTAGTACTGTTAGGTGTACAAATATGATTCACAAGAAAAACTCAGAGATTTCAAATGAGAATCCACAGTGTTAAGAACGTTCTGATCTGCTGTGGTCTATCTGAGTTCTTTGCAACAGAAGAGCTCCTCTATTACTTCTCTGTAGTAAAAAACATGAGTGAAACGAAGAGCTAGCATTTTCCAAGGGGTGCCTCAAGTCTAGCGGGTATCTCAAATCTAAAAAGGTTGAGAACCACTGCTCTAGGAGATGTAAAAGAGTTAAAGATGAGGCATACCTTGGTTTAACTATTTAGACATCTTTAAAACAGTTATCTCAATTAAACCCACTTGTATCTTTGTGCATGTACACTCTATTTCAGGGATACTTTATTGAACCTGAGTAGTGAACATCAGCTGGGAAGTCCTTTGTCTGGCATAAAGATCCTAGATGTTGGCTGTGGCGGAGGATTATTGAGTGAAGTAAGAGACAGAGTTTGTTCTTGTTTTTCTTCTTAAGGAGCTTATGGAGATTTTGAAGTTTATGATTTGTTTAACTTCTAAATTCTGGGGATGAAGAATTTCCTCTTTTCTACAGTACTGGTGTCTTAATTACTGAATGTTGTAGAGTACAATGTATATAGGCTGTGGCCTGTTCTACAGCTGTGCTCCATTTGAAACTTTAAGGTCATCCATAGAAATAGGTCCCTCAAATAACCTCACAAACAGAAGAATAGCATACTTCTTTTCAAGAATGCCTTTGGAAAGTTATCACAACATGGTTTGGAGATTTATTAATGACCATTCTTGTTAATAAAGTAGCAATCCAATAGAGTCCATTATCAATCTGTTTTTTGGATGCAAATGCACAGTGATTTTTAAATATTTGCTTTTTTGTCTTAAATTTTTATACCGGGGTAAAATCCTCATCTGTGCTTTTACCTTATATAAAACAAGAATACAAAGCAGCCTAAAGAGGCCCTGGAAGCTTTATAGGCAGTAGAGAGATTATCCCGGTGCACCTTGTGGAAGACAGACGACATTAAGGTTGTTTCTGGAGGATTCCTTTGTGAATCTGGGGACAGGAAGTATGTTGAGAGCAGGAGTTCAGCACTCAGGTTCTGGGTGCTGCTGTGGTCAATAGAGGCAGTGCTGGATAGCTGTTCTAATTTACACAGGTCCTCAGCACTATGTAAATTGTTTTTTGGAATGTCTCCAGCCAGTAGGACACCCCAGGATCAGGAAGCCTCAGGGTTGATTTCTAAGCTTATTGAGGTATAGAATAGAATATCACTGTAGGTCTCTGTCCAAAGGTGATAGCTTCCTCCTTCTCCTTACTCCTCAAGCCTTTCCTAGTGGGTTGAACAATCCTTTAGTCATGATAGAAGAAGAAAACTCATCCTTTCTCTGCTATCAAATAGTTTTTATTTCCCACCTGCCCACCAAAAGAAGACACAAACCAGATGCAACAAAAACTAAGTTAGAACCATGAAATTACCTTAATGTTTGCCTTGTCTGGGAAATATTAAAATAATGTGACTTGGTTCAACAAAGCTGTGACTGTTGTGCAGTACACAGGAGCATTAAATTGCAGGTGCACACTTAAAATGCAGGCATTGTGCATCAGATATTGTTTTTAATTTCCAAATTCCCCTGGTGAACAAGTATACATAAGGTGCTGTCAGTGCATAATGGCAAACCCAGTGGTGCTTGTAACTTTCACAAAGGGAATAACTAATGAATTTAAGGTTGTAAGAATACAAATTTGGTCCTGTACAGCCTGTTTCAGTTTCAAAAGAGGTGATAATGATGGTGTTAACTTAAGTAAGATGACACTGGAGAAACTTCAGTGACACCCAAGATTGACACTATCCTAGTAAACATTGGTGTGTTCAATTTTCAGTACTGAGCAGGCTTCATAGATAGCCATGTATCAAATAGCCATTAAAAAGATATGTGGATTTACCATTACAGATAGATGTAGAGGAAAAGAATGACCACATGTATTCTCTCTGTTTGGTTTTCTCTTATCACTAAAGAGGAGAAAAATTTCTACTGGGGCAGCAAAGTGGGCAAAGAACAATTATTCTAAGAACATTAAAAACAGACTAACATTTTTCCAGTGGAATTTATCGTGTTGGAAAAGTGGAAAATCTAAATTCTTTGTTGTGTGTTATCTCCAAGAGATCTTTCAAATAATGCTGTAGGATCAGAACCCATTCTTATGGCTATTTGTCTCATTCTTCTAATGATGCTTTTTGCAAGCAAATTTAATTCTGCTAGTTTACGTAGAACTTACATAAATTGTTTTCAAGCTGAGAATAAACAGTGCTCCGTATCATTAGCCTCTAGGTAGACTGGGAGCTTCAGTTACTGGAATAGATCCTCTGGAAGACAACATTAGAACAGCTGAACAGCACAAATCATTTGATCCAGATCTAGACAAGAGAATACAATACAAATCTTGTTCATTGGAGGAGATTGCAGAAGAGTCTACAGAAACCTTTGATGTAATCGTAGCTTCTGAAGTAGTGGAGCATGTGGCTGACCTAGAAACATTTATCTCATGCTGCTATCAAGTGTTAAAAGTAAGCGGGTTCTTTGTTTTCATTTAAGAGGTCTTATTCACCCTTAATATTAAGATTTTTTTTTAAAAGAAATGAAAGAGGCTACAGAGACACCTGAGAAGCCTTAATGATGCCATCACATAATACTGCAGAATTATCAGGATGTCCCATACAATGTGCGTAGGGCCATACAGAGTCAAATATGAAAGAAACTTTCTGTAGCCTGATGGAAGAGGATTTGGCAGGTAAGTTGATGGTATCTAAAGATATGAATTGAATCTAAATTCTTTTTTCATGTAATTTTACTCTGACTCTAGCATTAAGTCAACACGTATCCTTGATTGCTTTGAAAGGGGTAATTTATATTTAATACTCAAATTTTGTTTCTTTTTCTATATTAACCAGAAACAAGTATATAAGGATGTTTGTTCCAGTGTGCTAACTGGGGCTCTCCTTTATTTCACTGACTCATCTTCTTCCTTATGAGAAGGAACATAATTTATTTGAACAGGAAACTTTGTTATTTAACCTGAGGGCATAGAATCAATGAGTCAGAAGGGACCTAGACAGATCATCTAGTCCGACCCCCTGCCATGGGCATGAAGGAGCTTTGGGGGTGGCAGGGGTCATAAGATCCCAGCCAGGTGCCTATCCAGTCTCCTCTTGAAGATCCCCAGGGAAGGTGAGAGCACC